GCACCCCTACCAGTCTGTGGCTGCACAGCCCCATACACAACAAACTGTGATGCATTGTGTGTTCCGACACCTTACTACCATAACTAGCATTAACTTTTTCAGAAATTTGAGCTGCAGTAGCTCTTCTATTGGATCGGGCTTCATGGGCTAGCCTTTGATCCACATGTTCATCAATGAGCCTTGACTAACATGACCTTGTCACCGGTTTCCTTCCTTGGACCACTTTTGGTAGGTCCTCCTGACCCCTGCAGACTGAGCACATCCCACAAGAGTTGCAGTGCTGCTGCTCTGGCCCTGTTGTCTAGCCATTACAATTTGTCCCTTGTCAGAGTTGCTCAAATCCTTACGCTTACCCATGTTTTCTGCTTTCAGCAACAACATCTTCAATTGCTGCCTAATATAGCCCACCCATTTTCAGATGCAATTGTAATGGGATTATCAATGTTATTCACTTTACCTGTCAGTGGTTATGGCTGATCATTATATAGCAAACATATTTCTTTATGCTATCTTCTGTGTTACTATGTTATGTTTAATGCAGATTTTAATTTATGAGATAATGCAATACAACCAATTGTCAATTTAGTTCACTAAAACCATTGAACACCTAAAGCTGAACTCTAGGAAAATGGCTAAAAACACAGCTGAAATACAGATATGGAACCGCCAATAGATTTGTATTTTTCACAGTCCTTTTCTCATATTTACACAGCACTGTCAGACAGCACAGAAGCTGAGTGACCCAACAATTATCTTCTGCATTCACAATTCAGTTGGGTTTTTTTAATACATACATACTTTTTTTCATCTGCCTTTTTCTATCTGGAGTTCATCCTTAAGGTTATTGGATTTGAAAAACCTATTTTCTGTCTATAATGCATGTCTACAGTGTCTATGTATAGATTCACATTTCATGAACAGTAGTCCACAAAATATTTTTAAACCTGATTAAATGTGGTGAAAGTAGCATCAGATGAAGTAACTGGTTATAAATGCACAGGTATAAAAAAATGAATGACTTTGCGTTAAAGGGATTTCTACTTTTAACCTGAACTTTGGTAATGACATGATCAGAGTGTTATCCACCACCATAAGACTTCAAGAAGTGTTTGGCTATTTAGACCTTTGGTGACCAGAGGTCATTGATGCCTAGGTGCCCAGGCCACATTTAGCAATGCCAGCATGTGTCAGTTAACTATACAGTGAGGAACAGATGTATTTGAACATCCTGCAATTTTGCAATTTCTCCCACTTAGAAATCATGGAGTGGTCTGAAATTCACATTGTAGGTGCATTCCCACTCTGAGAGACAGAATTAAAAAAAATTCACATTGTATGATTTCTAAAGAATTTATTTGTCTTGCACCACTTTGCCCAGAAAATTGTTTCAATTACAAATGTTTGGACATTTTCATTCATTTCATTCATTTTTATTTCTTTTGTTTGTATTGGTATGACACAAAAAAGTGCAGAAACAATAAACCAGATCTGACACATTCCACACAAAACCCCCAAATTATTGGCACCTTCTGAAAATTGTAGGAAATAATTACATTCCAAGTTTGTGATGCTCCTGTAATTTGTAATTAAACTCACCTGTATTAATTAACAAGTGCTGACAATATAGAAATCATACCAGCAACCAGTTAAAATGGTGAAAAATGTACACAACCTTTCTGTTCTGTGTCTCTGTGTGCAGCATGGTGCATGGAGATGGAAAGAGCAGCAAATAATTGTCTGAGGATTTGAGAACGAAAATTGTGGAAGAGCATGGACAATCTCAAGGTTACAAGTTCATTTCCAGAGATCCTAATAATCCAGTGTCCACTGCGCTCAACCTTCTCAAGAAGTTTACAGTCCATTGCAATGTAGCTAATCTTTCTGGACATGGACAAAACAGAAAAATCGATCAAAGATTTCAACGATGGATTGTTTGAATTGTGGATAAAGAACCTTGATCAACTTCCAGACAAATGCTATGGTTGGAGACCCAGGAGGACCCCACTGCTGACAAAGAAACATAACAAAGTCAGATTGGAGTTTGCCAAAACTTACCTGAGGAAGTCAAAATCCTTTTGGGAGAATGTGCTTTTTGGTAAAGCCCATAATTCTCATTTTCAGAAAAAAAATTAGGCCTTCATAGAAAAGAATACAGTCCCTACAGTCAAACATGGTGGAGGTTCACTGATGTTTTGGGGTTGCTTTGCTGCTTCAGGTACTAGATGTCTTGACCATGTGCATGGCATTATGAAATCTGAAGACTACCAAAGAATTCTGGGGTGCGATGTAGGGCCCAGTATCAGAAAGTTGGGTCTCTGTCAGAAGTCAAGGGTCTTACAGCAGGAGAATGACCCAAAGCACACATCAAAAAAGCACCCAGAAATTATTTCAGACAAAGCGCTGGAGAGTACTGAACTAGCCAGCAATGAGTGCAGATCTCAATCCCATAGAGCACCCGTGGAGAGATCTCAAAACAGCAGTTGGGAAAAGGAACCCTTCCAATCTGAGAGACCTGGATCATTTGGCGAAAGAAGGATGGTCCAAAATTCCAATAGAGAGGTGTTAGAAACTCATTGATGGTTACAGGAAGCAACTGATTTCAGTTATTTTTTTCTAAGGGGTGTACTACCAGATAATAAATAGAGGGTACCAATAATTTTGTCCAATCCATTTTTGTGGTTTTGCGTGGAATGTGTCAGATTTGGCTTTTTGTTTCTACACTTTTTTGTGTCATACCAATACAAACAAAAGAAATAAACATGAGAATGCCTAAACATTTGTAATTGCAACTATTTTCTGGTGAAGTAGTGAATTATCTGATGGGTACCAATATTTTTGACCATGACTGTATATGCGGCAGCAGGAAACGTGGGCTTTAACACCCAGCTGTCGCATATATGTATCCATGGAGGTCTGAGGATGTGTGCTAATAGTGTACTTCCAGTACACTGCTCGAGCGGTCACTGACAGCTCTAAGTCATGGCTTCTGATTGGGAGCCAGCCGGCTGGGCTCACTATCATGTAACTGCTGTGAGAGCCAAGTACAGTGGTCACGTGGTGCAGAAGCCCTGTTGCTTCCTGGGCATTAATGTCCACTTAAAATGCTGCTGGGAAAAGGCCTTAAGGGGTTACAAATAAAAGGCTCCCCTTAAAATCTCAACAACACCCTTTTTCAGCCAGGTGGCAAAAAAAGGGAGGGCAGCAAGCGTGTGCCCCCTGATAATGAACAATAATTGTCATGACCTAAATGACAGAAACTCAGCTGGTTTGGTTACAAACAGCAGCCAAGGATTTGTATAGGCAAACTGGCCAAATATGACCAGGATGTTTGGTGGTTCACCAAAGTTGGAACAGATTGGGTTCGGGCCACATATGAGTAGGCATGCAACTTTGATTGTATGTCTCTGTGCATCTCTCTAATAAAAGCTTGTAAGCGTATGTCTGGAAGTCCTTCTTTGTAAGTGTAAGTGAATGCGAGTCAGTGTATGTTAAGTTTGTTAATTAGTATATCTTTTGTGCTTAAAAATAAGGGGTCAAGGATGGGGTTAAAAGGGCGGCTTAAGAGTCACCAAGTCTTTTAGGAGGTAGAAAAGTTTGCGTAAGGGCATTAAGGGTTAAGGGAATAAATTAGGGGTTAGGTTTACTAGGTTTGGGTTTGAGGGCTTTAGTATATGAGATTTTAGGGTTGGGGTTCTAAAGTTTGGATACTATAGGTAACTTAACCTTTTTGTGTTATTCATGCCAAGATGTCCAGATAAAATATAGTAGTATTAGTATGTGTCAATTAACTTGGCAATAACTCCACAAATTGGATTTTTCAATATGTAGTTGTACAATTCCCCAGATCTGCAGATAAGACCTTGTTAGCTTGATGATCTTACCTAGTCGAGATGGAAGGACGTCTGTTTTCCTTCATGGACTTTTGTCAGCAACAGATGCTTGGGTCAGAAAAGTCGTTTCCATTGGTTACCACAGTTTCACTATCCTTTCCACAAATGTTTTGAATTTCAAATCTCCTTATTTATCCCCAAAATGCTATGGACTTTTCTCAGGCAATTCAGGGACCCCTGACTTAAAGAGTTATTATTTCAATTCCATACGAAAAGAGGTTCAGAGGCTTGCATTCCTACCTGTGCACTGTTCACAATCAGCCCATTCTGGACCTCAAAGCCCTAAATTGGTTTGTGCAGAATCAAAAGTTCCAGATGGAAACAATTTACTCAGTTGTGGCCCCTTTGCTTAATTGAATCAAGTTGCTACAAAGAATTCTCTGCAGCCGTCTCCTGCTGTGATATTCTGAACCATTCTATCACTGCCTAGGAGATCATGGCCGAAGCAAAAACAGGTCAAAGCAGAGAACCTGCTATGGAGTAAAGCAATCTTGAGAGAAATATCAGCATCTTGTCCATTTAGGTCCTTAACAGAAGGAACATGCTCAACATAAAACAGCCACTTTATTCTGGCAGTAAACTGGGAAGTTCACCAAGAGACGAGTGGTCCATTTCCAGTGTGGTCCTCAGTAAACGGATTCAAAACAAACAGCACAAAGTGCCTGGGAACAAGCAAAGAGCAGTCTGGAACGCAAAATTCCTTAGCAAGTAACTCTTCAAAATGAGAATGAATCCAAAAAACCTTTGCGGATTGCTTAGATCTATGGAATCCTTGCGCAGAGAGAGCACAAATATCACCTAGCATGTGTCAAAGACAGCTTGGATGAGACTTGCCATAGTCTCCTTTTGTCTAGTACATAAAGCTTTTGTGTAGTAAAAGAGTCACCTGAATGTTCACCATAAATCATGGAATCAGAAGAATATGCCTAAGAATCCTGAATAACAGGCGGACAATTTGGAGGACTGCAGAACAGGGCCGTAGGCTTACAGGCTGTGTAAACACTCAGTGAAGCAATTGCTTCTGAGCAGGAGAGAACAACTGCAAGAGGTTTTGGTGCTAGCAAAAGCTAGGAACATAATGCAAGGAGTGGTCTGGGCAGCAGACACACACAGAGAGGTCCATAACCACTGAAGCATGGTAGAGGTAAATCTAGGGTTGTCATCTTGTGACTGACAACTGAATTGTTGGGTGCTTGCAGCTTGCTGTACCTTTTGAACTCAAGAGTGACTTACAATGTATAAAATTGGACTGTCTGGTTTAGGACCAGATATATGGCAACCAGGGATGGACTGACCATATGGAAACGAGGGCCCGGGGTCAGTAAGGGGCCCCATGAGATGCCCCTGGTACCTTTTTCATAGGCTTTTTTGAGTTGGGGCAAGGACACAGGGGCCCCATGATCCCCTATTGCCCGGGGGCCCCATGAGTTGTCAGTCCGCCCCTGATGGCAACCCATGAAGAATCCTAACCGCTTTCTGTAAGAGTTCTAGTATCCAGGAGCATTAGACTGGAGACATGAACTGAGTGCAAAGATGTCCAGAAAATACAAAACAAATTGACCTAGAGCTGCTCGAAACAGAAAAATAGCCTTTGCAACAAATGTATGCAGTCTTTTGTAAAGTCACCCCAAGAACACAATGGGTGCAGTGAACTGACTTCCTCACTACACGTGAATTTTTTGGGCAAACTGCAGTCTATGTATGGATGTGTTCAAAGCAGCACTCCAGCCAAAAAAAAAAACAAGATAAAATGAATAGCCCATGAAATGATCAAATAAAATAACCTGCTTTTGCAGCAATAGTTATCTTCAATCCAGTGATTTCCCTCACAATACTTTTTTCTGCTGCTAGATGTTCTTGGTCTGATGGACACCATCATTTAACCTAGTTCATGTGAGCCTATGTCATCCTGGACCCAGCCTAACCTGAGACTGGACAATGGATGAAGAAGCAAAATGATGGGCCTATTTCTCTGTCACTCTGCTTTCCCCTCCTATCAGCATGCTTCTGGCTGCACATAAATATGGCTCCTAGTACTTCTTCTCACAAGCCATTCTTGCTTTACAGGTCAAATTCAGGTACTTACACTACTTAAGTTTAAAAATACATTTACTGATGTATTGATCACAGATCTATAGTATTTCTGTCTTTTACATCTGCCTAGAATTCAGCTCCAGCTGTATTGATTATTATATTGTGTTTTCTTGCACTATAATTCATTAAAGTGTTTTTTTTTTTTGCTTGCTTGTAGAAACTGCTGCGCAAATACCACGTGAAATTAAAAATAGCGACACCCATCATTTTATTCTCTGGGGCCTCTGCTTAAAAAATAGGTATAATGTTTGTGGGTTCTAAGTAATTTTCTAGGAAAAAAAAAAAATGCAGATTTTTACATTATGTAAGAAGTGTCAAGATTGGCCTGGGGGTCAGATAGTTAAGTCCTCTTTCTTTGGATGAGGTATCATCTGCAGCTTCTTTTCGCTTGAAGCAACATTTGCTCTAGTATCTCCTGCTGCTTTCATTCAGTTGAAATTAATATCTGGCTTATTCTATATGTAAATGGCAACAGGGATGTTCATTACAAGATGCAGGTGTGACTTGTATGGCCTCAGATCACCAGTACACAACAGTCCTAACACATTCAATATCTGGATTAATGATGTGTCATGCTCTCTGTTCATGTATAGGTACTTCCCAATTACACCGAAGTGCCTGAAACATGTTGTAATGACACTTGGCTCTCTGTATTCACATTACCACTCCCAGTCTAGTTTATGGGGTGCAAAGAACTACCAGATGTTAAAGGAAACATACAGTAGATTGCACATAATCATGCTTGTAGTATTTAATATAGGGCCACCCATTGTGGTGTATGGAGCTGTATACAGTTTGTGGTGTCAAAATTCATTATTTCTACTTATAAAATAAAATGAAAAAAAGGAAACAGAAAAGCCAAGTATTGTGTGCTGAGAATTGCTGTCTCACTAAGACCAGTGAAAAGTATATTGTCCTGGGCCTTGTAGTTCTACAGAGACAGGTGAATGGAAGAATAATGTGCTGAGACTTGTAGTTCTAGAGATGGAGAATGAAAGTATACAGTAGAATGCTGGGACATGTAGTTATGCAGAGACAAGAGAATGGATGTAAAGTGTGCTGGGACTTGTAGTTTTAACAAGACAGGAAAAAGGAAGCATGTTGTGCTGGGACTTGTAGTTATAATGAGACAGGAAAATGGAAGCATAGTGTGCTGGGACTTGTAGTTCTACAGATAAGAGAATGGATGTATAGTGTGCTGGGACTTGTAGTTCTACAGATAAGAGAATGGAAGTGTGTGCTGGGACTTGTAGTTCTACAGATAAGAGAATGGAAGTATAGTGTGCTGGGACTTGTAGTTCTACAGATAAGAGAATGGAAGTATAGTGTGCTGGGACTAGTAGTTCTACAGAGACAGGAGAATAGGTGTATAACTTGGGCCAATGTAAGTATCCATTTCTAATACTAAAGGCAGTCACTGGGGAAGCTGACAATCATTGTAGTAGTCATGGCTATTACTACGATTGCTGCGATTGTCCAGGTCTTGTGCTAAGCAGCTTCCCCTCTGTACTGTCACCATTCATTGAAAGCCTTTTTTTCTGTATGGACAAGATGGAGAGGAGGTATGGCGAAGTCATAATCTCCACCTCATCCAATCAGAGAATGTCTAGTGGTCATTGAAAAAAAAAAATACAAGGCATTCTATGAACACCGTAATGCCGAATGAGTGACTCCCTGTCAGTGTGCAGAGGGGAGACTGCTCATATAGTTCCCCAAACATAGTGGCTATCACTGTAATAGCACAGGGCTCTGCACTGAACCCAAGCTCATCCATAGTGCTGACTACTACAGTAATTGTCAGCTTCCCCAGCAGCTGGGTATGAGATGTGCACAGGGGCGGACTGACAACTCATGGGGCCCCCGGGCAATAGGGGATCATGGGGCCCCTGTGTCCTTGTCCAAACAAAAAAGCCTATGAAAAGGGTACCAGGGGCATCTCATGGGGCCCCCTACTGACCCCGGGCCCTCGGGCAGTGCCCGAGTTTCCAAATGGTCAGTTCACCCCTGGATGTGCATATTAACATTGAACCAAGCTGGAGCATACAATAAAGCTCATACCTGGAATTCAACTTCAAAGAGTACCTCCGCTTTTGTTGAGAAAAAAACATTCCCCTCTGGGTGATCAATGTACATTGGAGGGATTTGATGCAGATTCCTATCTTTTGTTAGTCTGAAGAAATAGCTGTTTGTTTGTCTGTGTCCATGTGCAGAGTGAATCTCTATGGGAGTGACTTCATAATTATCTATCAGCTGCTGCACCTACAGGAATCTAATGAAGAATAGGAAAATCAGTGAGCCAATCACACAAGCAGAAAATGATAAATGGGGGGGCATTTTACACACCAACTGTGTACAAAATGTGGTAAATTTACTAAAACTGGACAACTCAGAATCTGGTGCAGCTGTGCATGGTAGCCAATCAGCTTCTAACTCCAGCTTGTTCAATTAAGCTTTGACAAGAAAAGCTGGAAGCTGATTGGTTTCTATGCAGAGCTGCACCAGATTTAGCACTCGCCAGTTTTAGTAAATCAACCCCAATGCCTGCAGGTAGCCATATTGTATTGCATTTTACAGAAAATTAGATTGAGAAGGATTGGGAATTTTTAATAACTTTCAGTGACAATATGACTTTGTATACTCTATATTATTTGGTTTTATTTGCTATTTTTTCCCACCAAAAGCGGAGTTACCCATTAAATTGCAAATAAATGTAATATTATTATTATTTCAGGTACTTATATAGCGACATCAATTTACGCAGCACCTTACATATATATTTACATTCACATCAGTCCCTAACCTTCAAAGAGCTTAAAATCTAAAGTCACTAACTCCCATTCATACATGCACATACTAGGGCCAATTTAGACAGGATCGAATTAACCTGCCAGCTTGTCTTTGAATAAACAGCATAATAAAAATGACAACATACAGTAGTTAAGCGCTGTGTGAAAAGCTTAGATAAGATCATGGGAACTTTCCCTCGGTGTATATAGATATCACTGTGTTCCTAACCTGTCATTAACCTTTTGCTCCATTAGTTACTGTTTGTTGCCGTGTTGTATACAATCAGGCAGAGGACTTGCCACAATCACTAAATGTGCATATCAGAGAAATCACCACCTAAGAGAAGTGTGCCAACTAAGCATCAGCTGATCTCGGTTTCCTTCGTAATCTTTCTCATGGCGGAGAGCCTTGGCACTGCAAATACCAGAAAGGTAAGAGGCATAGCCAAGGGTTGTAGGAGTTATAGACTAATAGAGCTGTCACTGGGCAAGGCGTGTCTATTCCTATGGTGACTATGTTTACTCTGCAGTTCTGCAAGACTTATTTTCTGACCGTAAACTTTCAGAATACTGTATGAAGGAGCCTATATATGGGGGCTTTGGAATGTTTTTGTAAGCACAACCAGATCTTCATTAGATGTTCTCCAGCTGATAATGAAATGAATGCTCTGTGTATGCCTGGAGAATGCTCTGTAGGCAGTGACGTGCCAGCACAGCACAAAAGGGAAATTCTTCCAATCTGATCGAGGCTTTAGTGCTCTGAGATGCTGTGCCATCGTGTTCTTCAATCATGGTGTAGGCTGACTGCATGGCTGTCCCAAAATTGGAGTGTGTAACCATTGCATTTCGTGTAAGGACAATTTTGAATAGAATGGTTGCGTTGTTTTCTCCTAGCAACACAACAAACTTGAACATTGTTAGCTATAGGTTACTAGTGTAGGGCAGGGGTATGCAATCTGAGGGTCACAACCCTAAGAAGAGACACAGGGGGTCACTTAGCTTTCCCACTGCTGAATGTTAGTATAGTAAGATGCAACAGTGGAAACAACTCTTTCTTCTACCACACATCATTACATAGCAACAGGCTTGCTTGGTAGACAACATAGAGACATATATGTAACAGACCCCAGACACCCGCCACTGGGTATCTCCGTCAAGAAGCTGCTTCTCAGGCTCTGGAACATGAGACCAGTGAATCTGGCTATTGCTACCCCAAGATCTAGACAATACAAGATTTGAAGTAAACCAGAAGGTAGATTAGTTTATTTTAACACAGATACAAGATATATACACTCAAGGGGACAAACCCCCCTCCCTGCATAATGACACAGGGCGGGGCAATCTACATTTAGACACACCAACAGACAGTTCCATCAGAAGGGAGGGCTGCTGGAGACACCCCACCCCCACTAAGCTAATACACATAAACACATACATCCCATAATAGTTTGCTCCCAAGCCAGACACACAATAGAACAATGAGATGCAACCACATAACATCAAACAATCAACAACCGCCCACCCCAATATTAGGACAGATCACCCTG